TGATAAATCTTTGGAGCTTCTGGGGCGCACATTTCAGCTTTCACTGTATTTACTCCACTCTGCCATTAGAATGCAAAGATGAAGCAGAAATTATGTCAGTTCCTCATGTAAATTATCTTTATTTATCTCCAGGAAGTTTATTCTCATTTCAGGATTCACAGGTTTCTCACAAGCATCCTCATTTCTCACAAGGTGCAGTTTATTTTAAACAAAAAGAAGCAATTATCCTTTAGGCATTTGGTCTATTCTGCTTTAAAACTCTATTTCTATTCATCATTTTGTGAGGGCTACTGAGCTTTAGAAAAGAAATAATTCCCCGGGTACTATTCTGGGAAGCCTATTTTTCAGTACTTGTTAAAAATAGCAAGACAGATTTTATTCAAGCCTGTTGCAGTGTGGAAGAGATTGGATTCAAATGGAGATGGTAACCAGTAGGCAAGTGAGGAAGCTGTGGAGCTAAGAGGAACTTGGGCTAGGTATGAGGCTTGAGGTGGAGCAGAGCAAACTGACTGCATGTTAACTAGGGTCAGGGTGGGGGTGGGGGGTTAACTAGATACTGAGGCCAGGGGTAGATTTTAGAAAACTGGCCTAGGGAAGTTCTTTTCAGAATCTGGATTCAGCAGACTAAGTCCAAGGCCTAGTGGAGACAGCAGGACCCAAGGGACACTGACTGAAGTGTGGCCAAGAAATGAACACAACCAGTTCTTGCTAGTTAACATGATTGTAGAGTGACACGTTGTTTTTGACCCATGTGTTACGTTCGTGTCACTGAGACACAGTGTCTGACAGGAGCAGCTTCAGGGAAGAAAGACACGTTATGGCTGATGGCTTCCGAGGATCCAGGGTGTCTTGAGGAAGGCGTGGAGGAGAAGCTTCTGTCACTCATGTCAGAGCCGGAAGCCGACAGGGGCAACACATTCCTGAGGACTCGATCAGAAATTAGGGGTTGTAGCTGTGGCTCATCCTGGGCTCTCGAGTCTATTCCGTTTGTGGGTCTGTTTTTATGCCAGTACCATACTGTTTTTGCTACTGCAGTTCCATGATAAAATTTGAGATCAGGTTTGTGATATCTATAACATTTTCTCTTTCTGTGAGTTTTGCTTTAGGTTCAGGACTTCTGTACTTCCCTATAAATTTTAGGATGTTTTTTCTAGGTCTGTGAAGAACATCATTGGCATTTTAATGGAGCTTACCCTTAATCTGTAGATTGCTTTCAGTAATATAGTCATTTCCACAGTACTAATTATGCCTGTCCGTGAGCCTGGGAAGTCTTTCCTTCTAATGGTGTCTTCAATTTCTTTCACCAGTATTGTGAAGTTTTTGTTGTAGAGGTTTATTCCTAGTATTTTATTATTTCTTGAAGCTACAAAGAAAAGGAATTTCCCTGGTTGTTTTTATTGTTTTATGTATGGATTTTGTATTCTACTAGTTTGGTGAGGGTGTTTATCAGATTTAAGAGTCTTCTGGGAAAAAAAAATGGGCAGTGGTGGCACATACCTTTAATCCCAGATCTTGGGAGGCAGAGGCAGGCAGATCTTTGAGTTCAAGGCCAGCCTGATCTACAGAGTGAGTTCCAGGATAGCCAGTGCTACATAAAAAAACCTTGCCTCAAAAACCAAAAAAAAAAAAAAAGAAGAAGAAGAAGAAGAAGAAAGAGTCTTCTGGCAGAATAGTTAAACGCTTTAACTGTGAGAGCATGTCATCTGCAAAGAAGGATAATCTGACTTCGTTCCTTCCTATTTTTATCTTTTGTTTCCTCCCATTATTATTCTAGGCAAGGCTTTGAACATTATGTTGGATAGGAGCAGAGGGAGTGGGAACCCTTGTATTCTAGATTTTAGAAGAAAAGCTCTCAGTTTTCTCCCTATTTAAGATAACGTTGGCTACAGGTATACATGCTGTGTATGTCCTTTCTTGTACTGAGTCATGTGCACTCTGTTCCTAGTTTCTTCAGGACTTTCTTCACAAGAGGAGATTGAGTTTGTTGGAGATTTCCTGAGTCAGTCTAGATGACCGTGTGGTTGCTGTAGAAAATGTGGTACAGACGCACATGGAATTTTACACAACTCTAAGGAAAAAGGATATCATGACAGTTACAAGAAATAGGCTACCACCAGAAATCACTGTGTTGAGCAAAATAAGCCAGCTCGAAAAGACAAACAGAATTTGTTCTTTCATACTCGGAACCTAAATTCCAAATCCTATGCTTCTATGTGTATATGTATGTAACCGTCCGTGTGTGTTTACGGAAGGTGGGAATTGGAGAGGATGGTAGAGATGTGTGAAAGAAAACAAGGGGGACTAACAGGGAGAGAAAGGGGCCTGATGGGGGGATGGAAGAGGGTCAGGAGAGGGAATAAGAGCAAAGGATAACGGCACGCATGCATGAGGAGGCCATGTTGAAACCCATTACTTGGTAGGCTGATATAAAAAATTAATTTTAAAGAAAGGATTACGTGAATCTTCATACTGCACCACTGGGACATTCCAAGCTCTTTTATAATCCTGGTCTAGGAGGGACAGCTGCCCCGCCACATGTCAGAAAGTGATGAGTTTGTCTCCGGGGACACTGAGTGGCCAAGAGAAAAGACAGGGCTATTCATACTTAAGAGTTCTCCAGTGAAAAGCCTATGAGTGATTGATCAAAAGCAGGCTAATCCCTTTCCAAAATGATACATGGCAACAGCCGAAAGAGGGTAGAAATGGCTTCCCTGTAGAAACAAGGGGATGTGGAGAAGAGGAGAGGAGCAGACTGGTGTCATGTGTCATTGATTATTTGCAGCTTTTAAACGCACTCTTGTTTTGTTTTTAGTTTTAAACTTAAATAAAAATTATTTTTTAAATACTCTTCTTGCCTTTAAAGGCAAACTTAAAGAAGTTGTATGACTGCCAGCAGGTGGCACTATCCTCTTCTCAGAGCATGAGCCGGCCGGCTCTTCTCACCCACTTGGGGTCTGGGTGTAGTGTTTTTCTTCAGGGACCAGAAGCTCAAGTGGATCGATCTTTAGCAAGAAAATTGTTTATTTCTGCAGAGTCTTCGTAACCACAAATAGCTCCATACTGGCCACACTAAACTGAAATCATCAAATTCTCTGATATGGTCCATTTTTCTTGGGCATTTGTTTGTAAAGCAAAGGTAAACTACTTAAGCTCTTCTCTTTCCCAGAGATCTCTGCCTGCAGAATGACCCAGCACATTTCCACAGAGATCCCTGCATGCAGGACAGCCCAGCACATTTCCACAGAGGTCCCTGCATGCAGGACAGCCCAGCACATTTCCACAGAGGTCCCTGCATGCAGGAAGGCCCAGCACATTGCCACAGAGCCAGCTCATTTACTTACTGACTTTTGGGAGCTTGTTTAAATGTACAGCATTTGAAAACACAAAGGTTACTGGCTATGAGAACAGAATAGACACTGATTCTAGGCAGGAGAAAGGGACTGAGTAGGTTTGTCGCCACCACCTACATCTGTTTTGTTTATTTGCACGTGTGTGCATGGTTTTTGTGTGTATCTACACATGTGTATGGAAGCCAGAGGTTGATATCTGGTATCTTCTTCAATCTAACTCCACCTCATTTTTATTTCTGAGACAAAGTCTCGTGTTGAATCTGGAGCTTGCTGACTTGCCTACACTAGCAGAGATCCTTCTGCCTCTGCCTTCTGAGCACTGGGGTTGTGGGCACACCGAGCTCTTAGGTGGGTGCTGGGATCAAACTCAGGATCAACTGAATCATCTCCACAGCCCTTTTTTCTTCAAGTTTGGCTCGTGCAGCAACTTAAGGAATGAGTTTGTGCACAGTAGTTCCTAAATCTCGTTCACCCACAATGGCCTTCTCAATTCCTCTTTGGTCCCTGAAGTCGGCTGTCTCTCCCCCCTGCCCACGCTTACTCTTAGTCTTAGGATCTCTGTGCTTCAGGAGCCCATCAGCATATCTTCCCACCCACCCGTGACAGCTTTCGAATGTTACCTCCCATGCACCCACTCACGTCAGTTTCTTTGTCTCACCCACTCCTGACTTCAATTAGCAAACTGTTTTTTCCAGATGGTTTGTTTCTGCTGGAACTCCTCTGCTGACTTTTTCTTCCAGTCCATTCTTTCCTCTATGTGGGAAACTGTGTCTTAGTCTTGTTCTATGGATTAAGAAGTGAGTGAGGATTCCTGTGTGCCTTTCTGTTAGTGAACACTCCAAACTATTCCATTCATTCTCTGTATCATTTGGTGCTTTCTGGGAGTTCAGTGCTAACATTTCACCTCCCACAGAGAGAGGCTATACAGTAGAACACTGAAAATAGGAAAGAGTTAATGAATGAATATTAATACAGTGTGCACACCAGACATTTGAAGAGTATAGAAACCAAAAGAAACTAGTTTTTATTTTCTGTTTTTAAACAACTGGGCAATGACAGAGGTCTACCATGCTCTCAGCATAAGTGAGATTTGAACATGACAAGTCCCATCTCTCAATAGTCCAGGCTGGAAAAGCACCAGCTGGGATTGGAATGAAAGAGTAGAGACTTATGAGACCAAGGACCTCCCTGCTTCCCCCTAAGCTCAATGTCTTTCTCTATAAAAGAGACACCATAATATCCATGTTGGAGCCCTAGCACTAAACAGGGTTCCTTGTCCGTTTTTAAGGTCTCTAATTTTATCAAACAGTTCTTACAGTTCTGTTAAGCAAATTGACAATAAAGAGAGTCTGGGAAGAAAGGAACTTGATATGGCATTTGCTCAGTGATTGACAGGATGTGATAGATAATTAAGGGCATTGTTTGTACCAATACAATAAAATTGAGGAGTCCATAACATAGTAGGAAAGAAGGGAGTTGATCCAGAGGGTTGTTTGGAATTCTGCATTTTTTTCCTCCTGTCACAATGTGTGGGATGATTAAGTCATTCCTTAGCAAAGATACACTTATTCATGCTAAAAAAAAAAAAAAAAAAAAAAAAAAAAAAAAAAAAAAAAACAAGTCTGTGGTGGGCTGCTGAGATGGCTTGGAAGCTGGGAGCGCTCGCAGTGCAGGCCTGACCACTTGAGTTTGAGCCACGGACCCCACAGTGGAAGGACAGAACCAACCTCTGCTGGCTGTCCGCTGCCTTTAAGTCATGCGCTACGGCACATAGGTGTGCTCTTCCCCCCACCCCCGACACACACACAGTAATAATAAATGTGCAGGTACTTTGCTCACTTCTTGTCTTGCTTCATGAAGCAGAGAGGGGTTTAACAAACTAGCGCCAATTTAGAGCCTTGAAAACTGGAAATGGAGAGTGGGGGATGGGGTTTCTAACCCTGAGATCTAACATAGCACATTGCACCAGCCAGGTCTATCCCAGCTACTGTTTATGCCTCCTCCTTTCTTTCACTCAGTATAATAAAATATTTTGGACAAAACTTGTATTGGTAATACCAACCTTGTGTATTACAAGATTAAAGTAACATTGTCATATAGTCATTGTTCGACATACTGAGCATCTACTCCATGTTGTGTGTCAGGGGTACAGACCTTATAAAGTGGGGAAGGGAAGATAATCAGTTGATCAGTTGATAAATCAATAAGCAAACCAATGAGGAAAAATGCAGCTAGTGTGAGTAAACAGAGATTCACAATGACTGGAAGCTATTTTATGTATATAGGTATTTAAAGATACACTTCCAGCTGCCATTTGACTGAGAAGAGGAATGGTAATCTTTCTGAAGTTGGAGGAAAGGATGCTCTGGGCAAACTGAATTAGTGGCACAAATGCTCTCATGCCCAGCCAGAGACTCACAGCTTCAGACAAGCTGGAGCTCTGCGCAGCTTCACAAAGGGAGAGATGCAGGAGAAACCGGCAGGGAGCAGACTGAAGTGTGGCCGTGCAAGGCTTACTTACGGGAGCCGCTGTGAGTTTCTTGGGTGTTGGTAGTTTTGAAATGAGTTACATGTGTACGTGAAACTAAATATATCACAAATGTTCCCTAGCACTGTAAGAGGCATCCTGAGTTCAGAGTTGTTGAAACATAGAAAGGGTAGGATTTGGACTTAGTAAGTTGCCGTGCTTAGATGCTGAGTTGAATATGGAATGTTTGGGGTCGGTTCACTTGGGGTGCAGCTTCAGTTCCCTCTGTCCCTTCTTTTGAGAAGTGTCTGTCTCTTCCTTACTTCCCCTTGTTATAAATCTAGGTACTTAGAGTGAAAGTTCCAATATGCTGAGAATTCTTGCCCAGTGTGGCCAACAGATGAAAAGTCATTGGAGCACCAAAACCCAAGTCTAAATCCTTGAGACTGAAAAAGAAATGAAAAGATGCTCAGAAGCTGCCTTTTCCCAGTAAAAACCAAGTCTGTATCAGGAACTTGGTAGAATCCTTATCAGCTGTGCAAGGTCAGTTGTTCAAACGTAAGTTGTAGCTGTTAGAAATAGTAGATTTGTGTCTTTAAGAAATACATGGAAATCAGAATGACTGTGTTAGAGCAGGAAACAAGATGTTAGCAAGAAGTCTGGAGATGGGGTTGGTTTGCTCATTCATCTCTCATTCAGTTCCTATTGAATGAGGCAGAGGCAGAGCGAAAATATCCATGCATATACACAAGTCAGGAAAAGCAACAGTATTTTTAAAATCAGCTGCAGAGAGATTCCAAGCTTGAAAATATCAGTTGTGTCAACCTTTCCCAGCTAACTTTGTAGTTGATTCCTAGCACCCCTGAGCTACAGGGTGGTTTTGTTTTGTTTTGCTGACATTAATTGCTTATCTAAAGCTCCTCATGCTAAGGGGGTTAAAATTAGCTAAGACAGACGTGGCCCTGTAGTTTTGTTTGGTACATAGGCTCAAGTCGTGGGTAGAATTTAGAAAGTCACTGAGAACTCTGTTCATGATTTAACACTGTTCGGCCAGCAGGGCAGCAGCACTAGAAGGGGCAGAGAGAGGCTGCGGGGTTGACTGTGAGACTTCTGCAGTTATTCCCACCCTGCCAGGCACTCCCAGGTCCATTGAGATATCCCTCCCTCCCTAAGCCTCACGTCAGACACTCAGAAGATCACCATTTATCTGTAATCACTATACTTGACCGTGAATGCACATTCATCTCCTTGGCTTAGTTTTGCTTTCAACCACAGCTTTCTAGAATTTCCAGTGTAAGCTCAGGCTCATTTTGTTGGACTTGCTTTTCACACCAAAAGGCTTATGACGCCTTTCTGCCCTTTGCCACAGAGCCTAACTCTAGCCCACCTTGGACTGTCTTAAACTAAGCTGCAAGGTATTTGTATTGGCCAAGGTTCTCTAGAGGAATGGAACCCTATATTAAAAGGATTTATTAGATTAAAAGAAGATTTATTAGATTAGCTTATACAGTATGGTCCGGGCAGTCTAACAGCAGCTGTCTTTATATCCAGAAGCTGGAAATGGTAACTGCTCAATACATGATGCTGGAGGCCTCTGCAGTCCCAATCTGCATCAAAGGCCTGGAGGATTCCTTTACCACATTGAAGAAGGTGGGTTCTAATGTCATCAAGGGGTGACATTAATGACAGCCAGAGGGTCAATAAACTCAGGAACAGGGCAGATGAACTTCCCAGTAAGACATGAAAACCAGCAGTTCAAAAGGAAAAGTTGCTGTTCGACCTTCTTACATCTGCCTCCACAATTATCCCCTGCCCCTCACTGTCAGAAGGTACCATCACGTCCAAAATGGGTCTTCCCACTTCAGTTAATGTCATCAAGAAAATCCTTCACAGGCATGTCCAGAGATTAATCTGGATCCGTGATTTGCAACCTGTGGGTCATGACCCCTTTGGGGGTTGAATGACCCTTTTCCAGGGGTTGCATATCATATATCAAATATCCTGCATATCATATATTTACATGATGATTCCTAACAGTGGCAAAATTACACTTATGAAGTAGCAACAAAATAATTTTATGGTTGGGGTCACCTCAACATGAGGAACTGTATTAAGGGTGGAAGCTTTAGGAAGGTTGGGAACCACTGCTCTAAATAATTTCCCCCAAACATCCCCAGAGGCCTGCTTCACAGGTGAGGCCAAATCCTGCCAAGCTGACAGTATTCACTATCACATCCTTGAAATGCTGATAAGTTAGAGCCCCCAACGAAGGGCATTTGGAAGCAGAACTAGCCCAAGGGAGTAAGCAGGTGGATGCTGTGACCTTGTGGTGATGATTCTGGCTGTTGTCACATGATCCTAGGAAGTCACAGAACAACAGAGCCCTCTTTAGTCCAATCACAGCCTTACATTGGCCACTCCCACTCTTGCTTTCCATTTTCCCTCTTCCCCTTGCACCCCTTACTCTACTTCCTGAGGCCCCTTCCTGTATTAGATTTTATTGCTGCATAACAAATCCAACTTGTCACCAAACCTTTATTACCTATAATAAAAGTAATCACCTACCCGTAAGTCAGAGGTCAGGTAGAATTGACTGAATTCTGCACCCAGACAGGCCTTAAATTTGTAAGTTCTGCCTTCAGCCTCCCAAGTTGCTGGAAATATGAGCCTACACCATTTGGATAGGCAAGTCCTTGCAAATCAACTGTCAGCTAGGGTTGTTCATAGTTTTTGAAAGCCATGCCCAGGTCTTATTTTCTTTTTAATCAATTTAAAGTTAGAATACAAATTAATGGGTTTCTCATGACATATGCTATGTGTGTGTATGTATCCTGGTATGTGGATGAAACAATGTACTCTATAATTGTTCGTCCTCTTCTCCAAATGCCGCCTCTGCCCATAGCACCCCATCCCCACCACTAGCCCCCTTTCTGGTCACCTTTCTGCTGGTAAACAACCCCTCTTCCTTTTGCCTTCAGGCAGCGCTCATTCATGATCGTCCCCACCCACTACACACAGTTCTTTCCCACCTAACTCTATTTTCAAAGCCTGCGCTAAAGTCTCTCAACACTGGTGTTTGTGTAACATCTCCTTCTGCCAAGAGCTAGAGAAAACTTTCTACTATTAAAGGGCTTGTGTAATTAGATTAAACTGATTTGAGTAATCCTGCTCTTTGGATTAAACCCAACTGACTTTTTCCTCCCCTTCTACAGTGTCATAGAGTCGCATACTCTCAATCATGCTCCCTCGTCGTATTCTGCCCCACAGGTCAGGGTGGGAAATCTTGGGGTGTTGTCTTTGAAATCCAGCTTAGCACATCTCCCAACAATTCTTGAACTCAAACCCTTCCCTCTGTTTCTGGTAACACAGAACTCAAAGACATCTCAAGAATGTAACAAATACCTGCTTTGAATGATTTAGTTAAGGGGCTAGAGAGCAAGCAGGGTGGTCAAGAGCACTGACTATACTTGTAGAGAACCTGAGTTCAATTCCCAGCATCCCTTTTGGGCAGCTCACAACTGCCTAGAGCTCCAGCACTGGGGGACCAGACACCTATGGCCCCCTCAGCAAACACTGGCACCCACAAGCACATACCTATACACAGATACACACATATAATAAAATAAATATATTTTAATAATCTAGTTGAGATTTCTAACACAACCAAAGGTTTTATAGGCATTTCCTGACTTGTCATTTCCATGGCTTGAAACTTACAAGAGGAATAAGGATTAAAAATGCAACAATTTCTTCATATATGTGTATGTGTATAATTTTTTTAAATTTTACCTCCCTCTACTCCTTCTGTCCTCACCCCCAATCCACTCCTCTGTTTCTGTTTAGGAAGGGGCAGGCTTCCCATGGATGTCAACAAAACATGGCATATCAAGTTGCAGTAAGACTAAGCACCTCCCCATGCATTCAAAATACAACAATTTCTTGAGCTTCCTTAAGAACATCTGAGCTGTTTGAGCCCCACAGCTGACAGCTCTTAGCCTATTGATCTGATTTTTACAGCTCGCCTACTTTATGCTTTATATATTCTTGCTTTTGTCCTTTAACACAGTAGCCTTACCACATTTAGTTCATTTCTTCCGTACACGATGCCTGAGAGACTTTATTACCCTGATCTTATGGCCAAGACTTGGTTTCAGAAATTTCTAGGATCCCATGACGATAACAAAGTTGTTTGAAAATCCAGGGGCCGAGTGAGAGAAAACATGACATCAAATGCAGGAGCAGAGCTGGTCTCAGGGCCAAGCGCCTATTTTCCTCTGGTTCTCTATATCCAGGCGAGACCAATGCACAAAGCTGGAATGTGACTCCTTTTGGTTTGTGTGTGTGTGTGTGTGTGTGTGTGTGTGTGTGTGTGTGTGTGTGTGTGTGTGTTTTGTTTTGAGACAGGATCTCATCATGTAGCTCTGGCTGGCCTGGAACTCTCTATGTAGACCAGAGTGGCCTTGAGCTCACAGAGGTCTGCCTGTTTCTGTCTGCTGGGATTAAAGGCATGTACCAAAAATCTTCTTAGAAACTCAGACCACCCCAGACCTGCTACCTTCTGGTGAATTTGAAACGATTTCATCATCTCTAGCATTTTGGTGACCTCTATAATTAGATGCTCTCTATACATCTAGAAGCTGCCACAATAGATTCTTTTCCTCAGTAAATAACACTAGGAAAACTGACTTAGATTTTAGCATCAGGAAATAGTTCAGAATCACTGCTGCCCCTGGGTGGACCAGGTGCCCAGTGGAGCAAGGGTGGCTTACGCAGACAGCAGAGTAGTTCCAAATCACCTTTAATGGCATTTACGAAGGTCCCAAATAAGACTTACTTGAGAGTTTGCCCAAAGACGTGGGAAGACTGAGGAGATGTTTACAAATACAGAGCACTGTGGGCAGCTAGGGAACCCCTGCCCTTCTGGTCCTACTCAGCCTCCTCTGCTCACTTTTCCTTCATGGCCAAGAAGTTCTAACTAATACTAACAGACAATGTTGAGGAATGAATTTCTTATATGAGGGATTTTTTAGAATTCATATATTCAAATAAAGTCTCTAGAATGATATATAATTCAATATATTCAACTTAATAATATATTCAAACAAAGTTTCACTGTTACTAAAAGCTATTACAAGTCAAAAGAACCTAAATTATCTGGGTGTTGTGGTGTGGGCCTGTAATCCCAGGCTGAGCAGAAGGACTTGGAGTTCTAGGCTAGCCTGGGCTATGTAGCAAACAAATAAAAACAAAAGGGCTGGAGATGTACCTCAATGATAAAGTGCTTGCCTAGCAAATGGGAGGCCTGGGTCTGATCCCCAGGACCAAACAACTCCCAAATGGTCAGCGTGGGTTTTTTGTTGTTGTTTTCCTTTTTTCTTATTCTCTGGTTAGAGAGTATACGAAGGAAATTCATCTAAATTGTAAAAGATTACAAAAAGCAAGAAATAGAACTTCTGCTTTATATTTGTATATTTTAGATGTCCTAGTCAGGCCTGGACTTACCAGGGACATGAGTCCCTGGAAGTTTTCAGAGTCTAACCAAA